ACCTGAGGAAACTGAGGCTCATAGAGTAAAGCCACCAGTTCCCAGTCACCCTAGCTTGGGGGCTCCCCATCCGGCTATGAGACTCCCCTGGGAGCTTTTAAAAGTCCTGACGGTAAGCAGTGACACCAGGCGCCTGGGGTGTGGTCCCACATCACTGTTTTTAAACTTCCCAGGTGATTGCTTTGGGCAGCCAACAGGAAAAGGGCAGAGCCGGGTTGCAGAGAAGGTCAGTCCAACCTCAGTTACAGCACCTCCCGGTTTCACCGGAGGGAAGGCCGGCTCCAGGGCGAGTTTGGCAGTCTGGCTTGCTCTGTCTCCAGGCCCAAGACCAGCAGGGCCCAATCTAGGCCTATTGAGGGCTTCCTGCAGAAGCTTCCATCACACCCTGAGATCTTTGAATGCATCTGGGTGCTGGGTCCCCTCCCTGCCTCTTCCTTCCTTGGATTCCCGTGTCCTGGAACCCCAGCCCAGCCCTTCCCCTCAGGAAATGGGCTCTTAATGGCCAGAGGCCGGCAGGTAATTAAGAAATAACAATTCTGGATTTAGCACAAATGAGCGCCTAGTCCGGGGCAGGGTTGGCATTTGTTGTTAATCCCAAAGTCGGCTTTATCTCTTGAGAGTTTTCCCCTCCTGCTCAGCCACCTCTGCTTGGAGATTAGGCAGCCTGGGGATTTGAGAGGAGCTGGAATCCCTCCCTCCTCCCACTTCCCTCCTCCCTCCCTCCTTCCTCTCTCCCTCTAGCATCTCTCCACGGCCCTCGGAGTGACCTGATGCTTCCTGATTAAGAATGTGGCTTTGTCACCAAGCTCCCGGAACATGTTAAAATGCAAATGGGGGGCCCTGGGAGGAGTGTGGCTTTTCTCTATTAGCATTTTATTTTAAGAACTTCGGAATATTCACCGAAGAAGGGGCCTTAGAGACTGAGCAGGAGGCTCCCTTCTGCCACAGATAACAGTAATCAGAGCTTCCTTTTGTTGTGGGCGCTCCCTGAGACGCTCTTCATGGATGATTACAGAGAAGCTAACAGGGATTGAGCACCCCCGGGGCCCACCTGCTAGGCAGGGGTTTTATGTGAATTCATTCCTTGCATGTGCCCACTGCCCTTCAGAGGCTGGTACTGTCACTACCCCCCAGCAGCCAGGTTTGGAATTTTGTTTTTGTTTTTGGCATTTAAGAGCCTCAGGGTTTTGAGGTTCTATTATTGCTTATTAGGACACCATGCAGGTCCCTGATCCAAAGTCCACTGGGATGCTAGAGAGCTGGATTGGCAAACCACAGAAATCAGGCCTGCTGTCCTTTTTTGTAAATAAAGTTTTATTGGAACACAGCCACACCCATTCATGTACATTCATTTACATGCTGTCTGTGGCTGCTTTCCAGATACAGTGGCAAAGTGGAGTAGTTGTAACAGAGACTGCATAGCCCCCAAAGTAAAAAATATTTACTGTCCGGCCCTTTTCATAAAGTTTTCCAGCTCCTTTATATATAACTGTGGTTATGAGAAGAATCAGACAGACTTGGGTTTGGGTTCAGATCCTGGCTTTGCCACACACTGTTCAACTCTGTAAGCTTTTACTCTCTCTGTTCCTCAGTCTCCACATCTGTGAGATGGGGCTGCTTGCACTTCCCACCTCTCAGGGTAGCCATGAAGGGGCTGGGTTCTGTGTCCGACATGCGGCAATGCTCTGTAAATGCCGACTGTTACCAGTGATACTGGGAGGGCCTCCTCCACGTGACTTCCTTTTATTTTACATTCTGGGCTTCTGGGTAAGATTGCAGGAAGAGTGGCTCTGCTGCTTGAAAGGAGGTTTGAAAACCACTGCTTTGGATCAAGTTGGCAGAGGCCTTGGTGGGTGCTCTTGAGGGGCTCATAGAACTAAACAGCCTGGTAGGTTCAGGGGGCCACAGGGGCTCCCCAAGAAGGAAACAGGATTGGGGTTCCCAGGACAGGCAGGCTGTGCTAACTGCATCAGTTATCTATTGCTGGGTAACAAATTACCCCCGAGGTTCGTGGCTTAAACATTATCTCAGTTTCTGTGGGTTGGGGATTCAGGAATGACTTTGCTAGGAGGTTCAGGCTCAGGGTCTCTTGTGAGGCAACCAACACTCAAGCTGTTGGCCTGGCCGCAGCCTCATCTGAGGGCTTGACTGGGCTAGAGAACCGACTTCCTAGGTGGCTCCTTCACACAGCTGTTGGCTGGAGGCCTCAGCTCCTCACCACATGGGCGTCTTCACAGGCTGCTTGCCTGTCCTCAAACATGGCAGCTGGCTTCCCCCAGAAGAACCGGGAGGAAGTTGTAATATCTTTTATGACCTCCCCTGGGAAGTCCCCCCTTCCCTTCAGGTCTTACTGTATTCATTAGAATTCATCCTAAGTCTGTCCCACACTAAAGGGAGTGGCCTTAGACTCCACCTCTCAGGGACATACCTGAGAACCACCACACTGACCCTATAGGCGTCACTCAGGCGCACTGTCCCAGTGGCGCTGGCGCTGGCCTGAGAAGCAGTAGGAATAACAATCATCCCATTGCTCAGCTCCTGCTGTTGGCTAGGGGCCCAAATACGTGAGCTAATATCGTCCCAGTCTCGGGCTGATTGGGGAAAAACAAAGTGGCAAAGCTTAGAAATAAGGATTTTAACACCCAATGTGGTAGTGCCTGGAGTGTGTGTGTGTGTGTGTGTGTGTGTGTGTGTGTGTTTCAACGTAAATTTAAAGCACTCCTACTGCTCTGTCCCAGTTACTATACCAGATTCAAGTGAGACAGTGCTACCTTCCAGATGCTCACAGGAAAGGGAGACAGAATTAAGAACTAGTCATTCTAATACAGTGTGATCAGTGCTGGAAGATTGACGAATGAATGAGTGTAGCTGGACAAAGGAGGGAGGGATCAGATTTGCTGGGGCATGGTCCCCAAAGAAGAGCCTATTGTGATGGGTTTTGAGGGATGAGTAGGAGCTCGTTACCATGGTAAAGGAAGAAGAGCTTTCCAGGCAGGGGGATCAGCCCATACAAGGTCATGAAGGGGCTGGAAAAGCCAGTGTATTTGGGAAACAATGAGCAGTTTGGAGAGGGTGAGCCGGCGGCAGGGAATGAGGCTGCATGTCATTTGGGCCAGATTGTGAAAGCTCAAAACTGGGCTGACTTTTAATTTATGATCAACATTTATGATCAACAGTGTATTTTATGACTCATGCTTCTGTGAGATGTTAACAGACTCTAAGGTTATTTAACATTTAAGTTCAGGAAGCCCGGGGTTTAGCACAATTAAAGCAACTCCTTTATTGCAGGACTTCGCACAACCTTTAATTCTCTCCAAGGGAGGGAGAGAGTAGATGGGATTCAGTCAACATTCAAATACGTGGGATTCCCAGACTCATTTGATCACAAAACCCCCTTCCCGAGGGAGCCTCAGGAGGCCTGTGTTCCAGGGAACACACTTTGGAAATGCTGCTTGTAGATATTGGCAAGAGCGAGCGAGTGTTCTGAGTTGGTATGTGGTATAATCAGATTCGCAGTTTCTGGCTGCTGTTTGGAGGGTAGACTGAAGAGGCAGAAGCCAGGAGGTGGAAGGACTAGTTAGGTGCGTAGGAGGGAGAAGGAAGGGTGTCGGAGATATGGAGGGGTGGCATCAGCAGGCTTGCAGGTTGATTAATTGGCTGGGGGTTGGAGGTGAGGAGGAAAGGAAGGACTTGTGGCCCACGCTCTGGTTTCTGGTAGATGGGATGCTATTGACTCGGCGGGAAGAGTGGAGGAAGGTATTTGGTGCATGAGTGGAATGGGTGCTTCTGGGTCAGGTGGGGGTCTCTAACTGAGCTTGCCCAAATTACCTGTACAGTGGGGCCTTGACTTACGAGTGTCCCAACTAACGAGTTTTTCGAGATACGAGCCGTCTCTGGGCCGATTTTTTGCTTTGAGTTGCGAGCTAAAATTCGGGTTACGAGCCAGCTTCAGATACCCCACCGCTAGTTGGCGCAGCGAACGTCACAGTGAACGCCACAACATCAGCCCAGCATCACGTGTCTCACTCGTTCACAATTGATTTGACATACGAGTAATTTGAGTTACGAGCTCCGTCACGGAACGAATAATGGCTCAGCGGTTGAGCTTTGACCTATAAAATTTATGGGCGAGGTGGGACAAGGAATGTAACACCTTAGAAGAAATGGACAAGTTCTTAAAAAGCACAACTTTACCAAAATTGACACCAGTTGGAAACAGAAAAGCTAAGGAGCCCCATGTCTATTAAATTTGTGCCCAACCAGAATGGCTCAGCGGTTGAGCTTTGACCTATAAACCAGGAGGTCACGGTTCAATTCCCTGTCAGGGCACATGCCCAGATTGTGGGCTCGATCCCCAGTGTGGGACAGGCAGGAGGTGGCCAATCAATGATCCTCTCTCATCATTGATGTTTCTCTCTCTCTCTCCCTTCCTCTCTGAAATCAATAAAAGTATATTTTAAGAAAGAAAAGAAACTAAATTTGTAATCAAAAGTCTTTGCACAAAGGAAAGTCCAAGCCCAGACAGTTTCACTGGTGAGTTCAACCTAACACGTAAGGAAGAAACAACACCGATCTTACACAGGCTCCTGTAGAAAATCGTTAATGGGAGAGGTGACTTCACGCATGGCTTCCACTCAGGCCTGGCTCCAGTTCAAGCTCTGTTGCTTTCGTCCGTTCAGAGTCATGTTTTGAGTACTTGCTATGTGTCAGACACATTCTAGGCACGGAAGTTATGTTCGGGAGCAAAGCAGGTAAAACTCACTGTCCTCTCCGTGTTACGCAAGGTCGCCGGTGTGTCATTTAACTGTCCTGGGCCTCAGTGTCCTCATCTGTGAAGTGGGGACAGCAATGCCCTCTTTCCTGAGAGTTGTCAGGACTCGCAGTGACGGTGAGGGGAGGGAGGCAGGCAGGCAGCCAGCGGTGGGCAGTTCCCCAGCGGCCACTGATACTTGTCTCTCTGTCATGTGTGTGTGTGTGTGTTCCACGGCCTGCCCTCTCAGGCTTTAAAATGTGTGTCAGCAGCAGCAGCAGCCACGATGAGGCCCCTGTCCTGAGCGACAAGCACCTGGATGTGCCCAACATCATCATCACCCCCCCGACCCCCACGGGCATGATGCTGCCAAGGGACTCCAGGAGGACAGGTGAGGCCACCCTGCCCCGCTGCCAGGTCGGGTGTGTGTGTGGGGGGGTCGGGCTGGGGACAGCTCAAGGGCCCCCTTCTGTGCTCTGGGTCTGAGTTCATGTCCCCACCTCCCTGGGTTTATTAAAAATTTACCCTTGGATCTCCACCGTGGGCCCCTCACCGAGGCTCAGCCTCAGCGAGAGGTGGCATGTTAAGTAATTAGCTAGACAATCCCTCCCGGCAGCTGAGCGAGTGATGGATGGGGCTGGGCAGGCTCGCCAAGGTAATTGATGGATGCGCCTTCCCCTGCTAGCCAGGCGACCGGCGCTCCATCTTGCTGGCTGCAGAGCTTCAGCTGGACAGGACAGGCTTGGAAATACGCCCACGCCGGGCTGGGGCTGATCTCTGGGCCTTCCGGATGTAGCTCACTGCAGGGAGGGGAGGGAAGATGGAATTGTTCCCAGAGAGAGGGTGAGCGGGAGAGGCTGCCACTGGTGTCCCCAAGTGCCCCTCTGTAGATACTGTTGGGGCTGGTGAGACAGATTGTTCATTTATTCATTAAACAGATTTATTGAGCCAGACCTGTGCTAGGTTCTGAGGTTGCTGTTGTAAATAATAATAATGATAATAATAATAAATAATAATAAATAATAGCAAATAATAAGTAATGATTCTGATAGCAGTAATTGAGTCCTAATAGTAAGTCTGAATTAGGTCTAGTTTGCATCCTCGTTTTATGGATGGGTAGACTGAGGTTCAGAGAGGTGGAGACACTTGTCATACAGCTGGTAAGTGGCAGAGTTGGATTCAGACCCAGGCCGTGTGATATGGAGCTCATCCTGTGGACCCCTAGTCTAGACGCCCTCCCAGTGGCTAGCATCATTCAGCCCACCCGCCATCGAGGCGTGAGTCCTGCCTGGCCTTTACGGGGGACACAGGCTGACAAGGCTAAGACGGAGCTCATGGAAGTCTGGTGGGGGGATTTAGGCACACTTTTCTAAATGTGTAGAGTTTGGATCTCAGCTTGCCCAGCAGGGCAAGTGACTAGAGAACAAGGTTGGACTCTGGCCACCTGCTGACTTGGAGCAGGTCTCCACTCTCTAAGCATCAAATCCCTACCTCTAGAACTGCCCAGGAAACGATATTTCCTGGGGGTGCGCAATCCGAGGAACCTTAGGCAGGGACCCTGGGAGCTCAGCATTGCGTGTGGGGTGAGAGGTGCGTGGGAATCCTGTGAGACCCAGCATCATCTGGATCCCCTCTCAACATCCATTGGCACCACTGCCCATATATGGGGGGATCTCAGGGAGGTGATACAAAGCAAGGAGCCCACAGGCACTGGCCCCAGAGCTCCCAGGGAAAGGGGTCTGAAGAGGGTGGGGGATCCATCCACATGTTGATCCCCCTCTTGCCTCCTAGTCTGGCTGGAAGAGACGGGGTCATGTCCGGAGGATGGAGAAATAGACCCTGAAGCCTGAGAAGGAAGAACAGGTCTGGGATTTGTTGGCTCTGGCTCCGGCTCTGGTCATCCCTCATTCCACGTGTCCCCGGTGGGGTGTAGCCGCCTGGGACAGAAGTGCTGAGTAAGCCGGATGGGAGAGTGATTTCAGCACTTGACCAGCAGAAGTGTGGCAAGATGAGCCAGGGACCAGCCCTGCACACTTGCAGAATGATGTTTCCCTGGCCCCGTTGGTGGACCGGACCTCTGATGCCTACACATTCTTGCTGACCCCAGGGCCATGGTGACGGCCATCAGGGTGCCAGGGAGAGGCTTTCTTCTGGACACACACACTCCCCGCACCCTGGACCATGCAGACGGTGCCCAGGAGATCAGCACACATAAGAACTTCTTGCAAAGGAGTGGCTACATTTTTTACAAGTTGTTTTACAGATCTCAAAACAGTCCAAAAGTGATTTATAATTTTTTTTGCATTATAAATAAAGATCCTCTGTAACGAATGGTAAACCCTGCTTCTTGGTTGGGCGGAGGAGATGGAGCACACCCGGATACAGAGGTGGGTTTAAGAGAGTCGGTTGCCATGGAGGTCTGGCTGGCGATGAGCCTTTGGATGGTCTTGGGTCCCACTGAACTGCAGACCACTGTGTGGGCCTGGGCATGGCCGGGGGCATGGCGCATAAGTCACACAGACCTGGTTTGAGTCCCCGCTCCGTGCCTGCCAGCTGTGGAATCTTGGTAAGACATCTCTAGGATGGGAGGCAATGGTTTGTTTTGTTTTTCTAATTTATTAATTTTTTTATTGCATTTATTAGGGTGATATTGGTTACTAAAAATTGCATAAGTTTCAGGTATACAGTTCTACAAGCCATCATCTGTACATGGTACTGTGTGTTTATCAACCCAAGTCAATTCTCCTTCCATCACCATTTATTCCCCGTTAACCCTCTTCTACCGCCCCCCCCCTCACCCCCCTCCCCTGCCTTCTCTGGCAATCACCATACTGTTGTCAGTGGTTTTGTATTTTTTTTAAAGAACATCAAATTGTTGGTGTCCCCCTCTCCCCATAGACTGTTCTAATCATGACACGAGTGTTTCTGTTCGTTTTCTTTGGTTTCCATCCGAGCTGTGTGGCTCATCCTGGCTTTGGTTTGTCCACTCTCGGAGTTGGGTTCTCCCAGGAGCAGGACGGGGTGGCGGGGGCATGGCTTTGGGAGCAAGGAGTCTGTCTGGCAGGTGATCCTGGGGTACACGGGTGGAGGACAGGCCAGTGCAGTTCTGGGATGCCCAAGACCACGCTCAGATTCAATAACTTGCTAGAAGGACTCAACTAAAAAAAACAACACCATTATAGTTGTGGTTATGGTTTATTACAGCAAAAGGATGCACAGCAAAATCAGCAAAGGGAAGAAGCCCAACAGGTGGGGGCCAGGAGAGACCAGGCAGGCGTGAGCAGCCAGGAAAGTCACACGCAAACAGCACTCACTCCTCCCAGCAGCGATGGCGACACTCACACCCTAGGTGGCGCCTGCCAGGGACACTCACCTGAGTCTTGGTGTCCTGAGTTTTCACTGGGGGTTGGTCAGGTAGACATGTCTGACCACCCCCGTGGTGGCCTCAGGGGTCAGGCTGATACCACATGACCCAGACCCCACCTTGTAGGTTGTAGATTGTCCAGGGAAGCAGAGACACTCCTATCAGGCAGGGCAGTCCAAGCCTTAGAGGTCACCTCTCTAGAACCACGGGCAGAGGTCAGCTCTCTGGGCACCAGTGGTGGCCTCAGGGCTCAGGCTGATACCACATGACCCAGACCCCACCTTGTAGGTTGTAGATTGTCCAGGGAAGCAGAGACACTCCTATCAGGCAGGGCAGGGCATTCCAAGCCTTAGAGGTCACCTCTCTAGAACCACGGGCAGAGGTCAGCTCTCTGGGCACCATTCTTTCTTCATTGCAAAGAATTGAGGCCGGGAAGGGAAGGAGCCGTAGGAGGTCTGGAGCCAGTCAACCTCCTCACACACTGGACTGTTGAGTGCCTGGGTTGTATGGTGGGCCCCACAGTCAGGGCCGGCTCTGTGGGCCTGCGATGGGCGTGATCCAACGGGGCCCACTCTCAGAAGGACCCGCTCTCTGCCATTGCTGCCCTTAAGAAATTAAGAAATTCTTAATCCTTGTTGAACAAGGGCCCGGATGTTCATTTTGCACTGGGTCCCTGAATGATACAGGGGTCCTGCTTCCTACAGAGGCACACACAGCTCTTGATGGGAGCGATGCCACAGGCACATGGTAAGAAGAGCGTGTGGGTTGGGAGATGTGGCCATCTCTGGAACCACAGTCCGCCACCCATTCATGCAGTTTCTGTCTCTGGAATGCCTTTGCTGCCTTTTACCAGCCCAGTCTCTTGGCAAAGCCGGGTCCATTGCCACCTGATGCTGCTCCCACTGGGCCGTGACTTTCCTGGCTGCTTTTGCTGATTTTGCTGTACATCCTTTTGCTGTAATAAACCATAACCACAACTATAATGGTTGTTTTTTTTTAGTTGAGTCCTTCTAGCAAGTTATTGAATCTGAGGGTGATCTTGGGCATCCCGGAACTGCACTGGCCTGTCCTCCAGCCCAGTCTCTTGGCAAAGCCGGGTCCATTGCCACCTGATGCTGCTCCCACTGGGCCCTGTAATTAAAGTCTTCTGTCCTCTGGTTCCCACAGCACCCTCTCCTCTCCTGGGGCAGGACTCCCTTCCATCCTATATAATAAAAGCCTCATATGCAAATTGTCCCCTGGGTGTGATCGGGAATTCGACTGCTCACTGTGATGTGTGCTGACCACCAGGGGGCAGCGCGGAACAGGGTGGGCATTGGTGACGTGGCACTGGCAACAGGAGGCGCTGCCACCTGATGGGCCAGAGGAGAGCCGGATCACAGCGGGATGGTGGAGCACATTAGCAGGTGGCACCAGGCCAAGGTGGTGCGAACGGCCCAATCGCCAGCAGACACAACCAGTGTCAGCGGTGGGCGGGGCCGCCGCCTGACTCCCAGGCGCTGAGAGAGAAAGGGCAAATAGCAATATTAAAATATTTCTTCTAATTATTTTCCTTTCAATGTGCACGGGGCCACTAGTTGTTTCATAATCACTGATGTGCAAGTCATCAGAGGAAGGAAGGGGTGCCCGTCAGCTGGGGCTCAGGACCTAGGGCTGATACACCCACACTCAAGCCTTGGGCACCCTCACACACGACCCTTAGAAAATAAAGCTTCTGCGTCCGGGACACGGCCCCACACACCAGTTCCCAGCTCTCACACTGCAGAAGTGTTCAGGATTTTTATTTGTTTAGCCCTCCTATTGCTTGCTGTGTGCAGGCCTGTTCCAAGCACTTTATGTGTATTTAACTCATGAACCTGTGACGTCGTGTATTCGTTTTCTTTTCGCTGTGGTCTAAGCAGCCCACCCCTGCTATAGACTGAGCGTGTGTGTCCCCCACAAACACGTGAAGACATGGCCAACTCTGAACCAGGAAGCGGGCCCTCACCAGACACCACATCTCCTGGTGCCTGGATCTTGGACTTCCAGCCTCCGGAACTGGAAACAGTTTCTGTTGTTTGTGAGCCACCCAGTCTGCGGTATTCTGTTATGGCCACCCAAGGGGCTAAGGCCCCCCACCCTCCACACTCAGTGGCTTGGAACCACAAGCAGTGACCTCTCACTCTCCGGTCTCTGGCCGAGCCAGGGCCCTGCTGAGTGGCTGCCGGGCGTTGGGCTTTGTCAGGCTCTAGTTGGGTTCAAATCTGCTCCATGTGTCTCCTCACTTTGTGGCCAGCAGCTACCAGAGTTCGTTCGTTCCCTTGGAGCATGGGCCGGGCCAGGCAAGCGCGCTCACAGCTTCTGCTCATGACCTGTGGCCCCGGCCTCTTCCCTCTGGAACCCAGGGGGATGCTGGGCCTCAGGGCTGGGGCTGGGTGCTCACTCTAACCTGGCTCCGTCCACATCTCCCTGGGCCCTGCTCAGAGGCCTCCAGCCGCCTCAGCAACCTGCCGTGGCTAATCACCGCTTCATCCAGGCTTTTAGTGCCCATGGCAACAGGAGGAAGACCAGGCGGGAGGCCAGCCTGAGGCTGACAGGACACGGGGCCTGGCTGTCTCACAGGGGCCTCTAGAATGTTGGCAGGAACGCTGGTGTTCGAGAGGCTGTGCTTGAGAAGACCCACCAGGCCCACCGGAGCCACCAACCTGGGGGGTCGTTGTGTTCTACGCGAACTTGACCCTTCATTAAAGGTCAGGGTGCCGTCTGGCTGGGGGTGGGGGCCTCTGTGGGGCTGGTCTAGAAAGACGATTTATCTTGACCTCAAAACATGGCTCTTTGATTCTTATTTCCTGAGTCAGTTCCTCCATTTTAATACATCCTGGGGGGATGGTTACTAATGTCTGCAGCTTATTTTTCATTTATTTTTAATGCCAAAGCTGCACATACTGATTAAATCCAACAATAAAACGTTTTGTAAATGGTTCCCCCCAAAAGTGTGTGTGTGGGGGGGCGGGGAGTAGTGGAGCAGGGGCTGCAGTAAATGGCAACTAAAGAGGAAACGGATGGACGGATGGACGTTAGGAGCTCTGGTCCCCTGGGTGTGATCTGGAATTCGACTGCTCACTATGATGTGCGCTGACCACCAGGGGGCAGCGCGGCACTGGCAACAGGAGGCGCTGCCGCCTGATGGGCCAGAGGAGAGCTGGATCACAGCGGGATGGTGGAGCACATGAGCAGGTGGTGCCAGGCCAAGGTGGTGTGCGTGGCCCAATCGCCAGCAGACACAACCAGTGTCAGCGGGGGGCGGGGCCGCCGCCTGACTCCCAGGCACTGAGGGAGAAAGGGCAAATAGCAATATTAAAATATTTCTTCTATTTATTTTCCTTTCAATGTGCACGGGGCCACTAGTTGTTTCATAATCACTGATGTGCAAGTCATCAGAGGAAGGAAGGGGTGCCCGTCAGCTGGGGCTCAGGACCTAGGGCTGATACACCCACACTCAAGCCTTGGGCACCCTCACACACGACCCTTAGAAAATAAAGCTTCTGCGTCCGGGACACGGCCCCACACACCAGTTCCCAGCTCTCACACTGCAGAAGTGTTCAGGATTTTTATTTGTTTAGCCCTCCTATTGCTTGCTGTGTGCAGGCCTGTTCCAAGCACTTTATGTGTATTTAACTCATGAACCTGTGACGTCGTGTATTCGTTTTCTTTTCGCTGTGGTCTAAGCAGCCCACCCCTGCTATAGACTGAGCGTGTGTGTCCCCCACAAACACGTGAAGACATGGCCAACTCTGAACCAGGAAGCGGGCCCTCACCAGACACCACATCTGCTGGTGCCTGGATCTTGGACTTCCAGCCTCCGGAACTGGAAACAGTTTCTGTTGTTTGTGAGCCACCCAGTCTGTGGTATTCTGTTATGGCCGCCCAAGGGGCTAAGGCCCCCCACCCTCCACACTCAGTGGCTTGGAACCACAAGCAGTGACCTCTCACTC